AGCCATCTTCTCCCTGGAAATCTCTTACCATCATTATGATACTTATACTGCTTCTTGTTTCTTGTACGGTCTTAGCAATCCATGGTGCAGCGGCTGCTAAGTTTTATTGGGTACGCTCCTTCCATATCAGTGCGATTGGGTGCTTACCAACGCGACTGCTGTATTTTAGTCCTCAAAATGTCGAAATCTGCATCGACTGCTGTCACTTGCGCGGCTCAGAACATCCTACCGCTCTTGATTGCCCCCGACAACCAGTCTATGAACATCACACTCAATGATTCTCAGAGTCTCATCGCATCTTTATCCCGAAATTATGACAGTGGACCAGGCGCATATGAAGGCTGTGGCTGACGACTGGCCGCCACTTGGACCCTGGACGAAAACTGTCTTTCCGATGTAGTAAGTGAACTATTCCTATAACGTATTGAACGTCGCTGGGTTTTTGTGCCCGACGATACTCTGAAGGAGTTCCTGGAAGATGATCAATCTTCCTGTCTTTGCTGGTGCACGTCTCTGAGACTGAAATGGAATGTTCCACCCGTAAGAATATGTCATAACGCCCACCTCCCTTGACGCAACACTAATTTACGGGTATGCTATTTCTTTCTCGAAGCATCTGTTAATATTGGATGGTTTGATTCATATAGTGTCTGGCTCTATCTGAAAGCTTTTCTCCCGTCGACACATCAAGGCAAGCGATCCGCTGGATGCAATGCAAACGTCACTCCTGAACGACGGTAAGATCCTATTCTGTCGTTGCTCACGCCAATACTGAACCAAGTTTGTGTCTCGTTGACATGCGGCTCCACCTGGCATTAGGAAACGTACCTGGAAATATCCAAGCGTGAAAGGCTCTGCAGATGAACGTCCCCAGACCCGGCGCGAAGCTCAAACAATGAGAAACTCGGTGGAATGTCGATACTATCAAAGCTTATGTCTGCCGCTCAGCAGACCGAGCAAATAAACCGTTTAAAAGGCCTGTCGGTGCATATAGACCCCAAATGCTCCGCATATTCTCATTGGAATACCCTTTGTCGACGACAAATGTTTCGCTCGCAACCCGAAGCACCCTCTTCGACAGCTTACAGCCCTGCTTCGGGCATCACCTTCCGGTGTCTACAATATACCAGAGCAGTAAGTGCCTTTGGCCATTGTCATATATCATGATCCTTAGCTTTTATGCAGCCGCGTATCCGTCCAGTGCCTCTGCCGGCGGAGTCCACCACAGCTCTATCCATAGAGGAAGTACTTCAGTCAACGGGCTACAAGTCGCCCCAAGACTTACACTTGACTCTAGACCTGCGTTGGTCGCCATGTTTGGTTCGTCTCGGGAGTACCGCAAAGCTCTCGCACGCTGTTCCCCAAGAAATCCTGACCCGCTCCGTTTCAAACCTCACACGAGGAAGCCTTCGACTCCACTGCGAATCGCTTGCATGGTGCATCGATATTCCAGCAAGACGACATGGCTACGTCGTCATTCAAGATCTTCTCAGTGGTCTATATGAGGCCCTACGTACGCCTGTCACTCGAGGGGAACTGCAACAACTGCGAACACACCGGTCACGGTGGCAGCAGGCCGTGGCAGCCCTTCAATTCCGCTGTCAAAGCTCGCAGAATCGGCGAGAAGAGGAACGCGTTGGAATGCGGAGGGTAGATGTTTTAGGGGACGCCTATTTATTCGGGGGTCTGTTTACCACCGCAGACGGGAGACTGTTCATGAAGACGCTAAAATATTAACAATTTGGGGAGACACTCGACCGGATTTTTGAGTACGGTCTGCTCAAGTGTATAACTAGTGCTGCGACCCTCGTCGTTCATACGCCCGGCTATTGCTTGGAATATTCGTCGCGGTGTCGCTTGCCCAGACATATCATGTCCTGCATTCAGTCGATAAGAATGGCATAGATGCCGAGTTGTGAATATCCTCAGCAACACGCACAGCGCAATCGCTGACTCAGCTACAGATCGTGATCAAGGCGCCCATAACAACATGTTGCTTGCTTGCGATTTAGTTGGTCTGATCTAGTGTCGTGTTGATAATTCCCGGCGGATGTAAGGTAAGTAAACAAATGTCGAGCCTCAGATGTAAGTAAATAAACGGTGTAAATTACATTTCTTACATCGGCGGGCCGGCATCTACGGGCCGAATTTTCCGCGGTAAATTACGGTAAACAATGTAATTTACGGTAAGCAAATGCCGGTAAGTAAATAATGACTCTGCCCAGCTCATGATACAAAACGCATCAGCGGTTCACAATGCCCCCTTCGCTGCTCTGCGCGGCTTGCAAGTTAGTAGTAGAGTCCGGCTCACCAGTGTACGAGTCAGCGAGAGCAGTCTGCGTCTACTTCTGCCATCGGACTGGGAGCTTCTTCGGGTATGGAGTACGAAAGCTGGCGAGTATTGTGCTCAACGGAATGATTGTCATCGTCGGTGTTGTCTTCGCCTGGAACCAGAGTGAGAAAACACGACTCATGAAATAACCTGTATGATTTTTCAAGCTACGTAAACCCAGGCACATGGCTTCTCCTGCTCAGTATAGCATCGCACTGATGTACCTTTATTTACATTTATTTACATGGTCTTTTCGAGGATCACGGTAAGATATGTAACTTACTATGTAAATAATTCATTATTTACTTACGGTAATTTACATCACCATTTCTAACACGACACTAGTCTGATCTCCTCGCTTGGGCTCATCACAGCTGCTTTAGACAGACACCCGCAGAAACACAGTATATATGCATGAATATATATCTAACAGCCCACATAAAAACATATGGTATGGATGACATAGCGCCAGTCAAACATTGGATGCCAGAGACAGGCAGGGTTGACGTATGCGTTTTTACCCCAAGTATATCTAAATAGCTGTCATAGTCAGTCTGGCTCAGGTATGTGCATAGAGCCTCTGCACTGTTTATTGATAACTGCGCAGCTCTAAGGCCCTTCGATTATCCCGCGCTATAGCGTACGACACACTCGGACGTTTCCAGCGCACAAACCTGTGCCCAAGGCTCAAGTAGAGGCCCCTCCTACCAAGCATATCACATCTTGGTGTGGCTCCAGAGCAGGCAAATGACGGTATGTAATCGTGGCTTGATTTGTTGAGACATTTCCGATCCGTGATGAGGCGAGAGCTGATTAAGCCTATGCACACAGGTTCGTTGACATTAGCGGTCTGCCTAGCTACAGCGCACTGCCGTTGAAGCCCAGACACCGGATTTTCAGACTTGCCCAGACTCGCCTAGAAAGATCGCTATTTTGTGTGCAGAGCGTTATGCTACTTGCACTGAGGAATTCTCTGCGGTCAGATCGGCCTACGTCTGTTTCATATTCATTGATAGTGTCGACTTGCTTGCTGACTTGTCATTGAAGGTTCTACCTTGACGTCACTCGACCACCACATTCAGGACAGCCAAAGTACCTGCATGGGATTAATCCGCAGCTTGGAAGGTTTCCCCTGTGAAGAACTTGACGGATAGTCGGTGCATTAGATTAGGTTCGTGCTACTTCGACCGTGGAAGTCTTGTAGACCGTGACTCCCCTAAGCTCGCATGGGCCTAAACCAGTGTCTCTTATCCTCCATTTTCCGTTCGTACAGGTGCCCCGGCAAGCGTCTTGCTGTGTCAAGACCTGACTTAGCTTCGGGTGCCCATCAATGATCCGTAATCAGCAGTGAATAGGATCTCCTCCTTCCTCTACGGCCATTCAATCTATATGCAGCAATCATGTTTCTTCTCAACCACCGGTTTCAAGATGCATTCAGCGTAGCCGAAATATCCCATATTTCTCTTAGCCGGAGTCATCCTTCGTTCTCATTGCAAGACGGCTAAAAGATGTGACATGACTACACTACTGTCGGTGGGTCCGATGAGAGAATGTCACAAACCTATTATGTGACATTCGTGGACATTTTCGTATCTGTATCTGCAGAGCTACATAGCTTATGGTAAGTGTCGCTGTGATATATGCGCGCTCTGGTAAAGTGGTACAAATAATCTTACCCTAGGCTACTTCTGCTCACGTCCCCATTTTCCTCACCTCCACGATCCACAGACTGCCCTCTCCGTATTTGATGATAGCCTCCCTTCGGCCAAGATGTTTAGTGCATGTATCGAGCAGGTATGCCTGTACTCTCAGCCCTCAGTACATTGCTAGGCTCATGCTATCCTCCTTAGCCTTTATGCGACGAAACCTCTCTCTCAGAGCCCCCGCCATTGCCCCGGCGACGTTACATTGACTTACCACCATCTCCTGGGTCCGCCCCTTCTCCTCCGCTTGCACCAACTCAACACCCTGTTTCGTCACAACCCACTACTGCCGTTGAGCTCCACGCAGCATTACGTTCACCAGATCACACATCTACTGGCGCGGAACAGATCCTTCGATGGGATATGCGCCAGCCGCCGTCTACCGTACTCCTCTACGTTCAACCCAACTTGACATCCATTCAAGAGATCCTGTCGGCTCCTGCAACGTTCCCTCAACTCAGGGAAATAACTATTATATGTGCCACCCTCCCATGGCCGGTTAAAGTCACGTCGCAACACGAGGGCATAACGGTGCGCCACATACTGGAAGGCATATATGAGGACCTCCACATTCCGGTCACGTCCACTGAGCTTGTGGCTATTACCGCCAGTGCAAGCTATGTGTTTGACGCTCTTTGTGCTGCCCATACGGAGAGGCTTCAATGGACAGGAACACCCGCGGAGACCCAACCTGGGCAGATACGTCGGGTAGACGTGTTGCTGAAGAACTATATGTTTGCTGGTCTGCGACCTACGGCCCATGATACAACCTTTGTACTTGACGTTTATACTTGATGGTGCGCCGCTGTGTGTAGAGTACGCAGTGCGCTCCATCCGCGAATGTTGCATGCGCCAGTCAGGGTTTTTTTTGTATTCATTACTCTCAACTCCCACCAGCTTTCATGATACTATGTCTATTGTACTATAATGCCTATCTATAATATTAGTTTGCTGACTTGTTACCGTCCCTGGTAGTATATCGGTTAGTACACGCGCCTGTCACTTCATGCAAGTGCGCGCGAAAGCGGGGTTCGACTCCCCGCCAGGGAGCGATGTCACGGATGTAGGTTTTTTTTGCGTCCCACCGTGGCATGTGTTCCATTTACCGCACAACATGGTTACGGCAGTCTGACAAAGAAGATAAAATTTCAATCTTAACGGTAATCTGGCGACGTCTGTCTACAGACGCTGTAGGCAAGTCGGGCTCATATACACCTGGCTATGGGACAGAAATGTATGTATCCTGACTACCCTAAGGCTCAGAATAGATCCTCCTCTTCGGGTTTCCAATTCTTTGCTTGGTCCCAGTAACCAGCCAACTTAGCTCCCAAAACCTCCTTCGCAGTATTGTCGGTAGGGCAACTCTTGGGTTTGAAGTTATTGAATGCACGATCCCTGAGTTGGCCCTCCCAGATGAGCCAGCAGTGGTTATCTTCTAGGGAAACTGGAGCGCCTTCAACGTCAGGGGTCGTCGCTTTCTGTTTTCCTTTGTCCGCTCCAGAGGCTGCATCGTCGTCTCCTTCTTCGACTTCGACATCGGACCCTCCCCGTTCACGAGCAGCTTCGGTCCATGCGATACGGTTTAACATCAGGCGTTTATACTGCCTGATAAACTTGCTGGCACCCTCTACGTAAATCATGCTGAACGAGGGATTGAAGATGCACACGCCAGTAAGATTCATCTGCTCAGCATTCTTGCGCACTTTGAATCTGTGCGCGGGGTCGGAAAGCGTCTTCACCCTTAAGACAATACTCAGTTGGATGGTTGCACACGGGAACAGAACAACGTACTTGAAGACAGCTCCGTAAATACCCTTCTTCTCTTCCTCAGCCTTCTTCATTTCAATCTTCTCGCGTCGTTGCTCATCTGTCAACTTGCGTTCGACGTTCATCTTCTCGTGTGCATGCTTACGCATAGCCACTTCACGACGAACACGCGCTTCAACGCGAGTTGGATCTTGCACGGCATCGGAAGTCAAGACTTTCATAAGGTTGGCCAAGCGAACTGGTTTAACTCGAAGGTCAGGTACGTCGTCGGACAATTGACAACGATATAACCCTTACCCTTAGGTGGGTCCGGAGGAATGAGACCCATCCTGATCCTATCTCTCTTGTCCTGCAACTCAGCTTGCCGACGTTGTTTCCGAAGCTTTTTCTGCTCCTAATCACACACAAATGTCAGACTTGGATACAACAAGGCCGACAACACGACTGACCTTCTTGGTTAGCTTCATAGGCTTCAGCGCCGCCTTGTTTTTGTCTCCGGGGGCAGGAATGGGAATAGGGTGTTGAATATAGATGGTAATGGGAGAACCATTGTTTCGGATGTTCAAATTTTCTATTCCAAGTGCGATGTCGTCGTACGTCTTGTTTGGAAGTAATGCAGCATCCCACCATTCGGCATCAGGCGGCGGCGCTCGCTATTATACACGTCCGGGGTCAGGTCTTGCTCGTTCATAGCATAAGGATAGATACCCACTCGAATGTTCTTCTCCAGAGTCTCGAACTCGGTGTCCAAACCAGCTTTCTTTGCACTCTCCGCAATTCTCTGCTTGAGCTGTTCCAACTGGGCTTCCTGACGGATCTGGTTCCCGATCTGCACATATTTGCCCTTCGGATTGAATTTGAATGAACGACCAACCCGCTCCTTCGGGGCACCCTCAAATCCGCTATCGGGAATAGCTGCACCCGAAGCGTAGGGATTCGCCTTGACTTCCACAGGGATGATTGGTACTGGTGCAGGGGGTGGCGTAGGCGCATTTCGGGCGTTCGCCTACAAAAGCAGATGTTGGTTTCAGAGAACAACGAATGCCTCAAGGAGGACGATCCTACCTTGATAGAGGCAAACTTTGGTTGCATGGGTTTATATCTGTCCTTCTTGGACTGCGGAACAGCAGGGGTATTATCCAACAGAAGTGGATGAGCTGCCATTTTCAAACCAGCACCTTGCTGAGCGGGTTCTGCAGGCTTGCTCTTCTTTCCGGCATGGGGTAGGCTCTACATAAAAAATAAGCATATTTAGATAGGAATAACTGGATAGAGGATCCCGCATGAACCGTACCATGTAAGGATTATCTTTGACGGCCAGTTTGCTCTGAGCATCGGCAACCCTGCGTTTCGCCTCCGCCACCCTCCTTGATAGATCATCCACGGGCGCAGGTGACGCAGATTGAGAGGATGCAGCACTGGGTAGTGTTGGTGTAGCTGCAGGACTCGGTGTTGGTGCAGTAGATATCGGTGCACCCTTCTTCATTGCAGCTATTTTCGCGGCAATTTCTGCACGCTTCTGCGCTATAAGGTCTGCTGTAGCCTAGAGTACGTTCATACGTGAATATATGAAATAAGCATCAGTGCTGCACGACTTACAGGTGGTACAAGAGATGATCCATGAGGTGTCGTCTGCAGGCACAAGGGCGGTTATAGCAAAACAGAAGTATATGTGAGGATGCATATTCACCTTCAAGACATAATACGGGAAGGATAAGACTCACAGCATCACTGTAGATGATTGGAATTGAGCGAGTGAGTGACGGCCGAGTGTGAGAGTGCAATGAGACAGACCTTCTTGCTCTCTTGGCTGCTCCGTTTCCGGAGTCGCCATTGCTCTCAAACGCTCTCTTCCTGTCGCTCATAGTTGTCGCGGAGCACTTGATAAAGCGGTAAAGAGTGACTTATGTATGCGTTCGTGGGTGGTGGTCGAAGACAAAGTGTAGTATGGCGCGCGCGTTAGCTTACTTCGGTAACAATTGGGTAACAAAGGTTTACTCGAACTCACTTCGCTCATCCACTTACGGTGTCAGGCGTACCGCCATGTTCTCGCTCGCATCTGCACGCTCATTCCTGTCAGCTTCTCGTTCTGCTCCGTCACTATTGCCGCATGCTTCTTCAGTGTCTCGCAATGCGCAGCTTCCGCCAATATTTGCACGCTTCCGCTCGCAGCTCGCACCACGGCGAGTAGAACACATCAAACGTCACAAGGGTGTTATACCTGTGCCCACCGGCGGTTCAATCAAGGGAACAACTCTGGCGTATGGAGAATGGGGCATAAGAATCAAAGGAAATGGCGTTCGTCTGACGGCTAAACAACTGTCCAGTGCGGAGGAGGCGGTCAAGAGGAAGATCAAGACCATTAAAGGCGCGAAGGTCTATATGAGAGTCTTCCCCGACATCCCAGTTTGCGTGAAGGTATGGAAAAACGGGTGTATTGCAGTCGTACGTGGCTTACTGTGCGTAAACCTAGGGCAACGAAACGCGTATGGGTAAGGGCAAGGGCACCTTCGAGTATTGGGCAACTCGGTAATCTTTCTTGTTCATCCGAGTTACAATACTGGCAACTGACATATAAACTAGGGTGCCTACAGGTCGTGTAATTTTTGAACTTGGGGGCGTCCCGATACGCGAGGAACTTGCCAGAGAGGGTACATGCTTTATTACATGAGACTCATCATAGGCTGATATGATTATTTTTCCAGCTTTGCGTCTCGCGGTGGTGAAACTGCCTACACAAATGGAGTTCATAGATAAAGCCGCGCCCCCACGTCTAGGAAACCTACTCATTGAGCTCCCCAAACCCACGCCTGCAGAACTGGCAGTCGAAGCCTAACGGTCATGTTCTCACGTATAGCGTTTCTGGTGTAATTTATACGTAGTAGAGCTAATAAACCCTCCCGTATATCCTGGAGGAATTATTCATCGTGTGGACATTAAGGTAAGCATAGACAGTACGTGCAGTGCTATGATGGTTAGGATGCATTACGGGATGCTTGCGACCGAGCCGTCTCTACCTCTCTCAGCCATTCAACATCTCTCGATACCTTCTCCGTCCTCGCTCTTTGACGCCTCTTGTTGAGATGCGACCAATCTTCCCCGACACCGACTATTTCTCCAAAAACAGCTCGAGGAGCCCTTGGTGGTGGTGGAGTGGAGGGCTCTTTAACTTTCCAACCGAAATAGCCAAGGGTGGCAGCCTTTACTGCAGCAGACCGACGCTGCGTCTTGTTCATCTTCGCTAACATCTGGGCTCTGTCTTGAGCATTCACAGTTGGCTTTACGCGGACTTGCACGACATGATTTTGACTAGCGAGTACAGGAAGCAAAACCTGCTTCAGATACCTGAAGACCGAATTTGGTGAACTTGTATCCAAACTCAAACAGAAACAAAGACGTACCGCATAGACCGTACAGCATGGTCTTGTGGAGGATGAATTACACCACTCGCTGTCTCGATTGCTACGGAGCCTCCTGGTGGTGTGCAAGGTTCCTTCAACGCTTGCTTATACAAGTCTTGTATTCTAATGGGGTTTGTATGACGTGCAAGGACAGTCTTGACTATGTGCAGAGCATCGCGAGTTGGTGCGCGAGTCCAAAGGCCAGGAGGCGGCATGTGCGCGGAGACAACAAGTGTACGGTTTGGTCAGAGCTGGCGAGCCAGTATGTACGACCTCTGGCCCTCCGTCACGTTATCCGTATCCTCTTTCGGCGGGGTTCCTGCGTCCGAAGCGCTTCATCTCACGTGGAGTGCCATTCTCAACTTGCCACCCAAAACCAATGTTACTCTTTGCTTACCACCACCGTACCGTTTCTTCCTCTCTTTCCCTTCCAGGGCACCTTTCGAGTCTCGCCTCGACTGTACATGTATAATGGCACCTAGACGAGCGCGTTCAACATCCAATGTATCATCTAACCCCAACATTATCCCTCGAGCTCCGACAGCATCTCCTCTACTCAGAAAGCAAATCGCCGTTGCATCGGACTCGATATATCATAACAACCTCACAGTGCTCAAGCGGGGCGACCCCTCTGTAGTATCCATCATCGACCAGTTCAGTCATGTCTGTCTGTATAACTACAATGGCAGGACACAGAAGTGGGCAAAAGAAGGTTTCGAGGGTAGTATGTTTATTGTTGAGCAGTACGTCAGTCTTGCGCGGCTCCAGAGTCGAGTAATGTCTGAAAACTTGCCCTACAAAGTGTCGATGAACCGATCTATGGTATATACATTCTGAACCGGATGGGGACTGGTGACTATATCAGACGGATCTTCCCTGAAG